CACCCTCCTTTCAAAGTCAGATTGTTAAACTAGCTCTGTCACTGGTGCAGGTAGCCAGTGACTCCAGGGCTGAAAAACATTTCAGTTTTAAACAATGTATATCCTCTGGGTAAGAGCTTGCAAAGGACACAATTAGGAATCCCAGGAAAGAGTTCTAAGGAGTTCCCTAGCAATGTGGCATCACCTTAGAGTCCGGTGTAATAGCTACCTGGCTCTTGCCTTTATGTGGCTAAACTCCAAATAAAATCAGAGACCTCTCAAAATGCTCCATGGGGAGCGTGTCATTCTAGAGCCTTGCCGCCCTGCTGAGACACCCACAGTGAGTGCAGAGATGTGAAGAACTGGGGCTGGCAGATGTCCACTGGGGACACGTACCGCCTGGATGTCACCTGGGGTCCATACCCTTCCCAGAATGACCTACGGGCCAACAGTGCTCTTCCTGTCAGCTTGTAGCCAGAGCTGGGACAGAGCCCCCCCTTCAGGGTCGCTGTGACTTGTCCAGAGGGGCTCTGTCTCGCTTCAGTTGTGGTGTCACCAGACTGACCCTGCGGTAACTGCAATGTGGGTCCTGACCTCTGAGCTCGGGTCTTCACAAACACCCTGTGGGCTGGCTTGGTATTGCTTTTCTTGCCATTCCTCCCATGCAATTAGAGGAAATCTGTTCCTCGAGTTTTTGGTTTCTTCTGAGCCTCTGAAATTGAACCCTCTACTCCCTGGCCTCAGGCTTCCCCCAGAGAGCTGAGCTTGGTGTCAGCCAGGGAACGCAGAGATTAGAGAAGGCCTCCCTAAAATGAGCGGGCCTCTGGGGGCCAGTCGAAGGGGGACTGAGCCAGCCTCTTTCTGCTTCTTGCAGCCCTGACTGTGAAGTTTCTGACCAGGAGGTTTATCAGCGAATATGACCCGAACTTGGGTAAGAAACCACTCCTCCCGGTGCCTTCCCTGTGGGTGGGCCATGGTGGGCACACCTGGGGGGGGAAGGAGCCACCAGGTTGTTTTGGCCCATGGGGAACAATGTTTTACGTGCCAGAAACACCCTTGCACAGCCCACCCTAGACAACTTAGGGCTGACCTACTGAGAGAATGGAGAGGCTAATGTGCCCAAGGCCAACAAGGCATGCTGGGACTTTTTTAAAAACAAAAATAGAGCCATTAGATGGTGTGGAGGTTAAGGTGCTGGATCCCACATGGCAGACTGCATGGTTCAAGTTCCAGCCCTGACGGCTTGGAAATCATGCCGGGTGTGTGTATGTGTGTGTGCCCAAAATCCCAAGAGAAGACTGGAGGAGAAGAGATTGTGGTGTGGCCATTCTCCAGGGGAGGAGGGCAGTGATTTCTCGCTTTGCCTCTCTCTCACTCTGTGTCTCTCTAGCATGCACACAGACCCTCTAGCAAAACTGAATAATAACATCATCATAATAATAATCAAATGCATTAAACACAACAGGATGTTCACAACCAAAGAAGAGGTTTCTTCCAGATGCGCACTCAGCGTTCTTTCCTGGAAAAGCTGGACAAGACGTTTTACGTAGTGTCTAGTGGTGCCGACGCATGTGCGAGTGTGCCCCAAATCCCAGGAGAGTGGAGGAGAAGGGATGGTAGCTTGGCCATCCCCCTGGGGGCGACTTCTAACTTTCCCTCTCACTTACTATCTGTCTCTCTGCTAAGCTCACATACCCCATGGCAAAAACCTTAAAAAAAAAAAGGAAGGAGGAAAGTAAGCAAGCAAGCAAGAAAAAGGGATGCTTTGTATCTCACAGGACTGGGTTTGAATCCTCACTCTGCCACGTAGTGGCTGTGCAGACTGAGCCTGCCACCCGACCTCTCCCAGCTAATGCTTTCTCACCTGGAAAATGCTCATGAAAAGCCCGTCTCGGGAACCAGCAGTTAGCGTAATGGCTATGTCGCTGGACTCCCACATAGTCGACCGCGGTTCGTGTCCCGGACCCGGTGCCTTAAAACTCACGCCGGGCGTGCGTGCCCAAGATCCCGAGAGGAGAATGGAGGAGAAGGGATTGCGGCGTGACCATCCCCCCTAGGGGGAGATTTCTCGCTTTCTGTCTCTATGTCTCTCTCTGTCTGTCTGGCAAGCGCACGCGCCCTCCAGTGAAAATCTCTCCAAAAAAAAAAAAAAGCCCGTCTCCGGGAATTACCGTTAGGGTTCAGGAATGACTGATGTACGAGACCTCACCTAGGGCTTGGCCCACAGTGAGCACGCGGCCCATATTCGCCTTCCTTAGCCTCTCCAACGGCTCCCCATGCACGGGGCTGAGATGGCCTGAGGTTAATCAGATCAGTGTTTCTGAAAATTATTTTTAGCAGCAGGACTTGTTTCTAAAATAACCTCTTACAAGGAACCCGAAAACCTAAAACAAATAAAAGTAGAATTTTATTTGAGTAACTGTCGCTAAAAGCTCACATTTATAGAATTTGTTTATCATAAACTGTCCAGTGAGAACAATGCAGTGTCTGGATATCTTAGCTTTTTTTTTTCCCCCTTGCGAAAGGGTTTGTGCACTCACCAGAGAGAGGCAGAGAGGGAGAGGAGAAAGTACTCTCCATGGGGCGTGGCCACACCGCAATCCCCAACTCTCCCTCCTTTGGGGAGTGTGGGCGAGCATGCATACCTGTCTTGTGTGTTTCTCAAAGCCCCCAACATGGGACCCAGCTGTGTGGTCCACCATGGGGAAATCCAGCCTCCTTAACCACCAGGGCTCAGGACGGGCTCAGGGATCTTAAGCTTTTGAAAATGGAGGGACCAGCAGATAGTATAACGGTTATATCACTGGGCTCACAGGTACTTGACCACAGTTCGAGTCCTGAGTCCAGTGGCTTAAAACACATGCAGGGCACGTACGTGTGCGTACATGCCCAAAATCCCAAGAGGAGAATAGAGGAGAAGGAATTGTAGCGTGGCCATCCCCCCAGGGAGTGATTTCTCACTTTCTCTCTTTCTGTCTCTGTCTCTCCAGTGAGCACATGTGCCCTATAGCAAAAACCTCTCTCTCACACAAAAAAATAGCAACAACGACTACAAAACAATGGACGTTGCAGTCTTGGATTATTTCCTGCAGTCATAAAAGTTGAATAAAGCACTTGGGGGACTCCTGAGGGCCCTCCAAGGAAACCCAGGGCTCTGTGGCCTAGGCTGCAGCCCCACAGCGCAGCACTCCCTGCAGCAGCCCCACCACAGTCCCTAGCTTGCCAGCACCCAGCAGCCCCAGTCCAGCTGGAGCAGAGTACTGAGTCTCAGCGTCTGAGCAGCAAGAGGCCTCAGGGCTACTGAGTCCTTTGGTTTAAAAAATGTTTCCCTTAAGTAGCAGAGTCCTTTCTTCCAAGGAGATTCTAAACAGAATGCCAAGGTATCAGAGAGAGTGGAGGGGGGGTCCCAGTGAAGGTGGGGGCGCAGGGCAGGTGGTATGCTGATAGTCCCTAAGGGGTTTGTTCCTCACATCTTCGTTTGGCCACCTGAACCTTGCCACCATCCCTCAATGCTATAGTAGAAGAAATAGGCCCAAGGAGCTGAGGACTCCGGGCCAAGGTCACGCAGCAAGTCTGAGGCGGAGCCCCTCCACTTCACAGAGACCAGCAGCTGAGAGTAGTAGCCCGGATGCCGTGGTGTGCTGGCCGCGGAGGCCCACGCATGGATCAGAGATGGGGAGGAGGAAGTGAGGACAGGGGAGGCAGGAGGAGATGGGAGGGAATAGCACACAAGCAGGCAGGGCTGCCTGGGAAGGCACTGGAGGCTTCCCAAAGACGGTGCCTCACAAGACACACCCTGCTTGCTCAGATACTGTGTGGGTCATGCTGATAGAAATTATTCCCTGTTTATCTGAAATGCAAATTTAACTGGGTATCCTGTATTTTTTTCTGGCAATCCAGTATCTTCTCATCGTGCTGGGTCCCACCGGGTCATGAGTAATTTTGGTATGAATGTGTGGTCAGATGGGGGCATGAACTCCCACATGGTCAACTGCAGTTTGGGCCTGGCAGTGGTTAGTCCCCTCGGCCTTTGGTCTCTCACAACACCCAGACAGCCGCCCCTCACCTTGAGCTAGAGACAGCAGGCACTCTCCCCTTCTACATCCCGGGAAGCCAATACCCTCCTCCGGAGGTCGTGTCCCACGCGGGAGGGACTTGGACATCCCAGCCACTGTCCCATTGCAGACCCCAGCAACAGCAGAAACTGTGGGACCAGAACCTTCCCT